CTGAATGGCTTCAAAAGAGAGGTTTGCTGAAATCTGTCTTACCATACATATTTTCTCTATTCAACCTATCTATTCACTGTATTTATTATTATTTATTCTTTTAACTCTAGCAAAACACTCCTGTACAGCTTCTAATAACCACAGTGCTACAATGGAAAACTGGACTCTGTTTGAATCAGTGAATTTATTTGTATTTATATTGCAATGTGTGTTTACTTGACCCCTTGGTGGAAGCAGAATGGCTAGAAAATTGGAAACGCACTGTGGAGAAAAAGAGGGTGCTGTCAAGTTCAGGTTTTTGCAATAGCGAATAATTAGTGTCTAACCTCAGAAAGCTGTATTATATTATGTTTTTGTGTAGCTTACTCCTCAGCAAAGCTTCATGGTTTGAGGACCAAAAGCTCAGCTGACAGATTAAGAGCAACTTTCTCACAGCTTAGACGTGCAGGATTCCTGATCTGTCAAGATAACACTGATAACATCTGATAGCCGGGCTTGACTGAAATAATGAGGTTTGCTTCAGAGCAAGAGATGTTCACCCTTTGTTAAAGAGACTTTAACATAACTATTATTGGTCTGTGTTTGACCATGTACTGACCCCATGGCCTTTAGCCTTAGTGTTATTAAATGGCCTACTATCAAGATTCCCAGGAATATTACATTACCATAGTCATGCATATTCATTACTGGCAAACTTTATCTAACCTTTTCAGAGTTTTTAGACTTTCTTGACTCCCAAACTGTCAAACTATTCTCCTGTCCTGAGTTTTCTTTGACACCTTTGTGGCTTATTGCACCATGTTGCCTTAGTTTATCCTGCATTGCCTCATTCTTTGTCTGAATATACTGTGGGCTCATTCAGCATTGCCAAATCATGTTGTTTTGTGTATTGTTTAAGTGATGTTTTCATGTTTGTACCCTTGTTTTGTATGTCCTTGGTTTTTTATTCACTATGGATTTGTGCAAAACCATCAACCACTGTTTGCCAAAATATGCAGAACTCCAGGCAATTTACCTACATTCTTCCTCCTCTTCTTCTTTTCCACTCAGTGACTGTACCGTCAGGCTCACGGAGATATCACAATGAGTCGAGCTATTCTGCAGAAATGTTTCAATTTCTCCCCTAATTTCCTATGGCTTTTACTTTAAATAGAACATTATCAAACTGCAGCATGTGCAATTTCAGCTTATCGCTGCTATTAAAGAAACAGACTGTTACAGTACTTTTTACTTGAATGACATTATCAAATTCCACCATGTTACCAACATCTTTGCCAAATTGTGTCTAGCTCTAGTTGGACACAGAGAGAAAATATTATACTATATTATAATGTCCGCATATGTTGAGTCCATGTTTCTGCCAATTGGATATTTGAAATGTAGGTCATGTGAGAATTAAACATTTATTTCTTTATTTAAGGTTACTGCAGGACATTAAATTAAATACATCTGCATGGAAAAAATGATTTCATTTTTCAAATATGTAGTGTTACACTACACCATCTTTTGAGAGCACTGACTCAAACTATTTACATCCATAACTAATGCCGCTGTCTACTCCATTCAAGTGTCTAAACTGAGCCCTTTGATTTCTCTCTTACCCAGAGTCGAGACAGAATCTCCAAACATGGACAGAGAAAACATTGAAATAAATGTTCTTCATGAGATCAGGGATTATAAATGACTATAGAGGCAGGCTGTCCTACACCCTCATTTAACACGCTCAAAATGTCAAGCCTATGTGTTCAGTTGAGTGAACTGTCAGGGGAGATGATGAGAGTGGCAGAATTTTTATTACAGTCATTAGTGCCTGGGTTGAAGTGTAGGTGGAGCGGCTCACTGAAGGTGCAGCCACTGCTCAAGTATACCCTGCTCCTGATCCTCAAACACCCACACGTTTGTTTTCAGACAGATAAAGACATCAGTAAGAGACTGGCACTCAAGTCCATTCCTTAAAGGTCCAGTGTGTA